AAAAAAAAAAACGCAAAGAGAAGAGTCATAAAAATCGGTAATATTAAAAAGAATTTAAATAAACTGTTGGGTATTATTCTTTGAAGTCTCTTGGTGTGGAGAGGTCTTTCGAACGGAGCTAAACGTTGAGCTTAACTATATTTTGCACAGCCGTATTAGACGCATTGGGAATATCTGGTTAATGTGGATTTCCCATGCCTGAATCCACACTGACATGGCCAATCAGCTGATTAAAAGTATCGTCAATAGCACCTTGAACGCAATTGTATCCTTCGTATGGGGCAAAGTGAACTGAGTCTCCAGTGTTTAAAAATGTACTCATTCGTACACCCGACAAGCTATTGGAGCTTTGGACAATTCAACTAGTGTTCCGCTGCCTCTAGGACCTTTGTTGTTATTTAGCCTTATTATAGCTGTCCTCACCTCGCCTTCGTCGAAAGAAGGCACGTGTACATTACATTCTAATTTTATGTTGTGAAAATGGTACAACGCCGAAACTGATTTGTCCCCAAACCAAACTTGACAAGGGATGACGGAAGTTCACTCCAAAATAAGTATTCTTACCACCCTGTCGGAATAATCAATCCACACCAACAAATTTTTCTGGATCCTTCATCAAACTTACTACCGGTGTTGCCATTTAATATCGCTAGAAGTATTCCCTCCATATGTCGTATGTATTGACGTCTGTTATCACCTTTTCATGAAGGCGCGGTTTTGAAACCATTCGACTTCTGCCTTCTTTTCCTACTTTTCAAAAAAGATGTCTCCACGCTTCCCTTCTCCACCGTTGTCTGCACGGCGACTCATGTGCTGTATATTTCTCTACAGCAGCGGCTCTGAAATCCTCGTCATATTAGCTGTTTCTGCGTTGGTGTTGGTAATCAACTCCGCCGCAGCCGCATGAAAATATGCAGAGCGGTCTCCCACTACTTTATGCCAGTTACGAAAGTTCTTCGCTACTCACTCCGATTGCAGCCTGGCAACGTGAACAAGTGTACAATTTGTTTCCTGGTTCTTTGACCAGAGGGAACCCAAGTGGCTCTATGAACTTTTCGAGAGTAATGCGAGTATCACTCTGCTGGCAGTAAAAGTTGACTTTTTAGACTGGGGTTTCTAAAATGTCTCTTCGCGCACCCAAAAATGAAAGTCACCAAGCATGATATGCTCATCGTGTTGTTGTAGCTGTAACAGCATACAAATTTCCCAAAAGCGATTTTGAGGTGTGTTGTTGGAGTGAAAATATAAATCTGGGTCGTTTCGCTTACGTAGAATCGACTGTTCTCATCGTGTCAGGAACAGTCCTTAAAGGCCTCTTATAGGCGATCATCGACTTTTATTTGGTTTCACCACTTCGTGCCATTTTTATCCCCATTGAAAGGGAACCGACGTTGCTGTTTCTAATGGAAAGGAGCCAATAACAGATATTTTCTCCTTAATCCTACATATATGTGTGCATATGTTGTGGATCCGTTTCTGGCTTTGTAAGCTCAACTAAAATTCCTTAAGAATGTTCATGGTAATCTAAAGGTTAAGGGAAAAGTCATTATAAAATTCCGTCTTATTTCCACCATATGATCGTAATAGGCAGATAGATAGCCGTCTACATACGAGCATAATGACTAAATTTCACTAGGCTTCAGGTTCTATTCTCGTGGAATTGAGTTCAGTTAGATTTTCGAGATTTTCGCGAGCTTTTGGAATTTTTCGAAACTTTTCGGGAAATTTCAATATTCCTTAATCTTTATTTTTAGAGCTTTTTTCCTGACCTCGGAATTTTGTCATATTTCGGGAACTTTAGGGATATTTCGGAAGCTTCCAGGTCTAAAAGTACATAAATATCTTACCATTGCTTTTGTGAAATCCTAAAAAATAAAAATGATAAAAAGAAATTTGCGAATTTTTTGGATGTAAATTCTCTTCTAGATTATTAATACAAGATAGACCGTAGCAGAAAAAAAGGTCGCCACACACTTTCGCATTTTAATTTGTTTTTTTTTTTGTACTCTCACCTTATTAAAGCTCTCCAAAAAATTACTAAACTTTTGCCAAGGAAGAATTTCGACTCGAAGGGAATGCGCCGAATGTCAGTACAGTTAAAGTATGTTACATCGATGTTTTTCCCTCGAAGAGACATGTTTTGGTTCTTCTCAGTTGCTTTCACTAAAAGCATAGACAGACGGCAGCGCTGACCCGGATCACCTCGCTTATTCGAAATTATCTCGGGGGAATTAGAATTAAGTCTTACAGTTAATTTCCAAAAGTCAGATCAAGAGAGTTTTCGATGACAACACTGGTCAAAACCGTCGAAAATATATTAAGCAAACAAAGCAACCGGGTTCGGCATCCGCGATAGCCGAGTGATCAGAAATGCGTACTACAAGTCAGTAGCACCCAGTTTCGAGCCCCATTCCGAGAGATTCTTAAAAATATTTATTACTATTATTATTATTATTTTTTAATTATAAATATTATTTAATTTAATATTATTTTATTTTTTTACTTTTTTATTGTCTTTTTTTTTGTTATTACTCGTTAATCTAATTTATTAGACTTCAATTCTAATTAAAAAGCCCACAACAACTATAATTATGTACATCGAAAAAAAATAAAATAAAACTAATAATTTTAGGAGCAAAAGAGATGAAGCTCGCCAAAAATCGTTGAAGTTATGAAAGGGTGATTTTTTGGTGATTCCAGTAGAACTGTTTCAATAAAATTTAAAAAAGAAGCGCCTTAGGTTCGGCAATTTTTTTTCGCATTGCCTTGCAAAAAAATTTTAGAATCAGGGGTGTACGGCGAATTTTTTGATTGTTTGCTTGTAAGGTGGTACGATCTAATGTACATATGTACACATATTAATCAGATTTTTTCTATGCTTTCGCCGTTCCTACTTCCCGGAAGCAGGTTCTGTCAGTTTTTTGAAATAACCGTCGACTTATGTAATTTATGTAGATTGAAGAATTCAGTTTTCTTTTCATGCATTAAAAAAAATAGCTCGACATTTAAAAANAAGCAGGTTCTGTCAGTTTTTTGAAATAACCGTCGACTTATGTAATTTATGTAGATTGAAGAATTCAGTTTTCTTTTCATGCATTAAAAAAAAAAAATAGCTTGACATTTAAAATTAACTGTAAATATTTACTAACAAATCAGTAAATAACATTCAAAAACTAACCACCACTCAGTTCATATGCACACTTCATAGTTACATTAAAACATACACAAAACCGTAAGTATCCACAAAGTATTCCCTATTCGCTATCTCCAATTAAAGGTCCCTCCTAGAGAGAAATTTTAAATAAGTTCATTAAATTTGGATATTCCTTAAGCTCCACAAAAATCCTTTCCAGCTTTCATACATATTTGCACAACTGTGTCAGGGCTACATTATCCCCTATCCAAAATGAATTGTCCATATCCCCGTCAACAATTCACGTTTTAAATTTATGCTTACAATTTATATTTGCACCCTTCACTTCCCCTTTTTTCGGCATGTTTACTGCATAAGTGCAATATTTATTAAGTAAGATAGAAAACCACACTGTAAATATTTTACACTAGAAATAAACGACATTTTGATAAAGCAGCCCTTAATGGCACTGCAACCAAGAAAATTTTGATTTTTGCATGACCCAATGCAACTTCCCTGTTCTTACCAATATCCGCTCACTTCCTACCCCTCCCGTTACTTTCTGTTTTTGATAAATTTACTTCGAACAAGTTCACCAATTGGGCCCATGCTTTTTCAATAAAAAATGTACCTATTTTTGATTTACTTAGTTCGCAATTGCATGCCTTGTACATTTTTTGTTTTTTGTATATTGGGTAATTGGCGCTTTTATTTTTATATTATTGCACATTTACATTTTACATATGTATTTGCTAAAATCACTCTTCTTCATAATTTTCTAGGTCTTGGGGCAGACGCCACAAAATTTGAATAATCTCAACAAACATAGACGCGTGGTTTCATCACCAGAGAATATGCATCCCAGACATCCAGGTAAATTGATAGATATATATACTAATATTAAACTATTAAGTATTTTTAGAAGATCTTCTGAACGTTTATATGTTCCATATGTAAATGCGTACAAATGTTTGTATGAAAATATTTCTCTGTACGAATAAAGTACGGCACGTGGTTGAGTTTCTGTTCATGGACCGATAGTTCATTCGGGCGATGATCCTCCCGGCGAAAGGGAAATTTACGAAAATGCTATGATTTAATCCGAATTAAGGGAAATTCGAAATTCGTAGTGTCATCGTTGAATGATAAGTGATGACGGGATTGAGCTTAAAATTGCTAAATCTTAAAAATATTACATAAAAGCAGCAGCATATGCTGACGATTGCTTGATAATGGTATCCGGAAATGGAATTGATGACTTGTGCTGGAAAGCAAACGGTTACCTCTAGGAACTTTCCCGCTTCTGCCGCTGCAAGGAACCTAATCCTCTCGCCTACGAAATTCTCGGCAGCTCTTTTCACCACCTGAACAAAAGAGGTCAGACTATAGCTGGGAATTCACGTCGACGGCGAACTAATTCCGACTGTGAACAACCCCAACATACTCGTAGTTACCTTTGACAGTCTGATCGCTATCGCGGCGCACACAACCGTTATTGTCAATAGACTCTAGTCAGAAATATGGCAAGGGAATTGACCTGTCACAGTAGAGTGCCATAGACAAGGACACTCAAACAGCCGTCTAGACTCGCACCACTATTGCCCTACTTTGCTCTGGATACACAGTATGTTAAATTTCTACCTGAGTAGGATAAATTCTAATGTGTCTAACGAATTTCCGACATGCGGAGAGTCACCCCATTACTCGACACGCCTCTTCGCATGGTTACTAAACCCCACTTAACTAACGCTCCCTCCCTCTGGTCTAACCCAGTTGGAGTAAAACACTTCTTGGGCCTGCCGTTGGTTGAGCTTGGCGACCACGTCTGAATGACAAGTCGATGCAGGCAGGGCTAAATAGCCGCTACAACAACAACATGATAATAAATATTTATTAAAGTTGCGAATTTGTTAGAATTTTATATAAAGCTATGCATTCGAATTACGAACTTCTTAAAAAAAAACCGAACAAGTTCTAACATCTTTGTAACTGTTATTTGAATGAATTTGACTGGTGCTACGATGAGAATTTCTCTATTTTAACTTTGTGCACTCAAAGGCGAATTTTAGCCAAAACGTTAAATTTTCAAACCAGACTTCTTTGTGTGTATATACATATGTACTATTTTTACACTTTAATTTACATACAGTTTATCCCTTCGTAATTACGTAAAACTTTCGATGAGGTTCTGCAAATCACAGAGGTAAATAAATAAAAATTCCATCGTTCTGTTTTTTTTTGTGTATTCCATAATTCCATTTTTACGTTTTAGCTTTGTACTCGCATTTTTAGTTTTGTTTTGTTGGGTTTTTTCTTCTTAAGCTCACGATCACTTTCGTTTTTCCTTGACCGTGCAAGAACTCTTCTCTACCATTTCTTCCATAATTTATTTCCTTTTCAGTAAAATGCATTACGCGATAAAATGCATTATTAATATTACTCGAATTTATCTATATTTTTTTTTTGCTTCTTTTTACTACACTTATATCCCTCAACGTGAATTTGTGCATTCCAAAATAATGACTGAAAAATGCCAAAAGTAAAAATTACTTTGAAGATTCTTACGCAGTGAGTATCGCACTAAATTTTGCTAAAGCAAAGCACAGTTTCATCTATCTCCGTGGCAATTAAGCGACTAAATGTGCATTTACGTGAAGCGCGTGGCATCTGTTTTGCTACTCTGGCGGCCGCTATGATCACGGTCAAGTGGGGGAGTAGTATGCACTTACATACATACATATCGTAGTTTAAAGTACAAAACCGCGTATCAACATAATGCAAAACCGCGTACGTGAGGTTGCATAAATAGTTTTGTGAAGAGTAAAAACACTGATACTTCAAAATTGTTCTTTTTTTTATAAAGCAATCGCATTTCTGGCTGGTATATTTCAGGACGAATGGATAAGGCTTGAACCAAGAGCTTCGGTGGGGAAAACCAATTTTTGACAAAAAATGTCAGTTACGCGGTTTTGCAGAACGACGATACGTGGTTTTGTACTTTAAACGACGATATGTATGTATGTAGTCTTTGCAAAAATTGTGAGTGGATATTATTGATTATAAATGTGTAAGTATGTTTGTATATACTTGACTTTGGAACTGAAGACTGGAAGGCCTTTAGCACATTTCATTTGGGCATTTTTATATGTAGAGTATAAAGTTTTAAAACGTAATTCTGATCGTCAAATAGAGAAAATGTTTATACATACAACTAACTTTGCAAGTTGTAATTTTGTTGGATATAAACGACGCCCTACCTCGCTTTAACTAAGTATGTTTTTCAATTCTATAGTAGTTTCAAATTCTAGAGAAAAAGTCTTATTATAAGAAATTTCTCTACAATATTTCTTTCGAGTTTACATGGCTACTCAGTGCAATCGAATATCCTGTCTCAGGCGATATGAAAGTTTTAAGACCGAGCATTATACGCAAAGCACATTCGGTACCACTCTCCAAGTACGGGCGACTAGTTTTAATTCAATTTAGTCCTTGTGTCCATCTCATTCCGAAACCACTGACCTCAATCACATTTCGCCTGATAAATCAAGACCTATGACTTATTTTGAACCATATCAAAACTGCCTATGGTAATTATAATCAGATTAGTGGTATTCACCAAAGTGAGCAAGTGGCCTGGCAGTGTGGCAAAAGAGCAGATTAGCTCAAGCAACGGCTGTTGTCAACAGTCGTCGCTATCTAGATGTAGGGCTTTTCAGTAGTCTTCATATGTCAGTTAAACTTCAATAATTCTTGTCTAACAAGTGAAACTCAATATATGAGTTAGAAATCGTTGTTGGAATTTGAGAAGTTAGCGCTTTTGTAGGTGTATTTAGGTAAGGAGTTGGATGCCTGTAGGAAAATCGATACCAACTAGTTTACCTTCTCTGGCTGCATAGTTACCACTATAACCAAGTGANGACTAGTTTTAATTCAATTTAGTCCTTGTGTCCATCTCATTCCGAAACCAATGACCTTAATCACATTTCGCCTGATAAATCAAGAGCTATGACTTATTTGGAACCATATCAAAACTGCCCATGGTAATTATAATCAGATTAGTGGTATTCACCAAAGTGAGCAAGTGGCCTGGCGGTGTGGCAAAAGAGCAGATTAGCTCAAGCAACGGCTGTTGTCAACAGTCGTCACTATCTAGATGTAGGGCTTTTCAGTAGTCTTCATATGCCAGTTAAACTTTTATAATTCTTGTCTAGCAAGTGAAACTCAATATATGAGTTAGAAATCGTTGTTGGAATTTGAGAAGTTAGCGCTTTTGTACGTGTATTTATGTAAGGAGTTGGATGCCTGTAGGAAAATCGATACCAACTAGTTTACCTTCTCTGGCTGCATAGTTACCACGATAACCAAGTGNGCTTGAACCAAGAGCTTCGGTGGGGAAAACCAATTTTTGACAAAAAATGTCAGTTACGCGGTTTTGCAGAACGACGATACGTGGTTTTGTACTTTAAACGACGATATGTATGTATGTAGTCTTTGCAAAAATTGTGAGTGGATATTATTGATTATAAATGTGTAAGTATGTTTGTATATACTTGACTTTGGAACTGAAGACTGGAAGGCCTTTAGCACATTTCATTTGGGCATTTTTATATGTAGAGTATAAAGTTTTAAAACGTAATTCTGATCGTCAAATAGAGAAAATGTTTATACATACAACTAACTTTGCAAGTTGTAATTTTGTTGGATATAAACGACGCCCTACCTCGCTTTAACTAAGTATGTTTTTCAATTCTATAGTAGTTTCAAATTCTAGAGAAAAAGTCTTATTATAAGAAATTTCTCTACAATATTTCTTTCGAGTTTACACGGCTACTCAGTGCAATCGAATATCCTGTCTCAGGCGATATGAAAGTTTTAAGACCGAGCATTATACGCAAAGCACATTCGGTACCACTCTCCAAGTACGGGCGACTAGTTTTAATTCAATTTAGTCCTTGTGTCCATCTCATTCCGAAACCAATGACCTTAATCACATTTCGCCTGATAAATCAAGAGCTATGACTTATTTGGAACCATATCAAAACTGCCCATGGTAATTATAATCAGATTAGTGGTATTCACCAAAGTGAGCAAGTGGCCTGGCGGTGTGGCAAAAGAGCAGATTAGCTCAAGCAACGGCTGTTGTCAACAGTCGTCACTATCTAGATGTAGGGCTTTTCAGTAGTCTTCATATGCCAGTTAAACTTTTATAATTCTTGTCTAGCAAGTGAAACTCAATATATGAGTTAGAAATCGTTGTTGGAATTTGAGAAGTTAGCGCTTTTGTACGTGTATTTATGTAAGGAGTTGGATGCCTGTAGGAAAATCGATACCAACTAGTTTACCTTCTCTGGCTGCATAGTTACCACGATAACCAAGTGAAAAAAAAATAAAAATAATAAACTATTGACTCTTCTTCATTTTGTTAAATGCCTAGCCGAGCTTTTCATTTGATTTGTGGTGAGCGCCCTGATGTTGCCACACAATTAAGGGGGATGGCAGATGTTTTCGTGCTTTTTCATGGCGCAAATAGACTCGGAGGCTTGCCATTGCCTGCCGTTGGGTGACCAGTTTAACACGCACCTTTTATCGTTCCATGCCAACAAGGCCTACCACGAATTGAAGAAGTAAAACTGCGTGTATGCTTATTTTGTTTTCTAGTTTTTTTGCATAAACAAAAACAAACATTTTTTACCGTTAAAAAATCTAGCAAATTATGGCATTGTGAACCCTCTAAGTAATTCAAGTTTTCCCAACAGGGATGCACTGATATGGTATGTATGTATGCGCGAATGATACTTACATATGTAGTAGCAGCATTTAGTCATTGGTCCAACGGTTTGTCGACGATCATCTTCCGCTACAAAGCAAGTCGTCAGTTTCTGTTTTGTTTCTGCCATTATAATTTCCTGCATTTAAACTGATATATATTTTTGCATCTGTTTGCTTTTGGTTTTTATGCGCCATGCTTGCAATTACATATATTAACCCTTTGTGATGTAAACATTAAAAATGAATGTGGAAAAAAAACTAATTTTAAAAGACAACGCTGAATTTCCTTCCAGCAGATACTAGTAAACGGCAGAGTAAAGGGGATAATTCCATTGCCACCCATGCTGCTGGGTCCAAAATGAACTCTAGTGTGGAGGAAGCGTATTCTCTGAGGCTTCCCAAACATAGATGTCTATTGTATTAACTACCAAACTATGCTAGCATCTTTCCAGCAGCACATAGAAAGAAACTCTTGGTTGTTAAAAATTAACAACAACGACGAAGTAAAAAGGCCGTGCGTATTTTCAGTCCGAAGTGCTGTCCCTCGAAACTCTAGCGGATTGAAAGGTGTCGTTGGGCTCAACCATTCGCGGCTAAAAGGGCTTTCCCATGCACCATCCCATGATGTGACTGCAATTTTGAGGCTTGTAGGGAAACGGTTCCCTATATCTGCGAAGAACCAACTCTGTCTCATAGCAGATACCATGCACTAAAATGTCTTTATACAAAGTGCAAAGGACGATTCCAATGTTTTCATAGCCAAATACATCGACAAATATTCCTAAATGCTTTGAAAATAACAGCAGGTACTCCTAACAGCAGGCAGCTAACGTCAAAGGCCTCAGGGGAAAATCATTGATAATTGATTGAAATGGTGCTCCGCACGTTAATTAGGTTCTGGGCATTGCTGCCGAAACTTATAAATGGAAAAGCCTTAAATAGATGTTAAGATTTCCCTGGTGGGTAACTCCATGTAGATACTAAAGCAATAATCCAAGTCGGACGGTGGAAGGTCCAATCTATATGGTGGAGCATGTTACTGAGGGTGTACGTGGCGTATGCGTAACATGCTTTACTGCTCGCATTTCATACAAAAAATCTATGCGCATTTTGATTTGACCAATCATTATTTCGTATTTATCCATCGATTTTCTTCATCAGTAACATGTTTTTTTTTTTTTTGTGTAACAGAACAGGCTTTAGTACAAATGCCAAAAATTTGGCATAGAACCTGTTATTTTTTAAATTTTTCTTTTGTTAAAATTTGATTTTTTTTTAATTTTTCGTTAAAAAATAAAAAAAGCTGGAATGATTAATTAATTTGTCAGAAACTATAAGCCCTGTCGGAAAGTGATGTATACACGGTTTATGGAGAATTTCATTGGCTTTTATTTGCCGTATTTTATGTTACGATTTTTAAATTTACTCGTAAGATATTATTTAAGCTGAATAACCGAGCAATTCTACATACAGATTGGATAGTGGCGTCTGGAGAACAAAAACCAAATTAAAATTTGTGATCCAGTGTTATTAAAGATTACTAAAATTAGCCCAATGACTGAATAGCTGTTCCATGTTTTTGTTTAAGTTTTTTTGGGTAGCTTACCCTGGCGCTAAACGAAATCATTATGGGTAATTTTATGATGGATTTAACTCTCTTAAACTCGACCGAATGGTAAACTAGCTCTGCTACAAATTAAGATAGTATAGTGAGAGTGCCCAGACTTTCAAGGATTTCGATAGTTTTTCAAGTTCAAAAGAATACTTCTACAACTTTTTTTTTCTACTCGTATAACGTAATACATATTTTATTGTGTAAGCGAAATAGATCCAAAAGAGAGCCAGCAAACGTTGTGATCTTATTTGGCAAAACCGCCCCCTTTGAAACTAGGTAAAAATTCTGTCTTAGTAGATTTGCTTTTTGTCTTCATACATACATATTCGAACTTTTATTTACCTCTGTTTGATGCGGCTGAATTATTGAGATTTGTTACGGTATTGCCACATGCACCACAAAGGGTTAATGCTCTGCAATTGTAAACTCAAAATCTGTTTTCACTGTGCTGTTGGGCTGCTGCGATTCGTCTATTAGTTTTTTCATTGAAATCATACGGCTTAGTTGAACGCGTCGTTGTTTTACTTATTTAATTTATAATTTGTTAATCAATTAAAAAATATTGTTTTCCTTTTTTTGCATTTTGCCACGAGTTCATACATACTTCATTATCATATTCCGTATCCCAGTTTTGTGTTTTACGGTTTGTTGAATAAAAGTGGTTTAGGTTTAATATAAATTATTGTTATAAGTTTTTTTGTGATGTCATTTTTAGTGTTTACAGTTGTTAGACACTAATTATTGCTCTGCGAAATTTGCGCATTCAAGGGTTTATAGAAGTTATCTAATCGGTATAAAATTTTTGAATGTGTCCAAAACTTGACAAGCTGCTCGTCCTCGAGTGCGAAATTATCAGTATTATCGACAGATGCTGGGGGATTTACAGACCTGCACGAATTCCTAACGGCCCACCTAATACTTCCTTCTCATGGGATTACCTGCCAGATGAACGCGAATTATCGAAAAGATCAGAGATATCCCCCATGTATGACAACCACTAATTGATTGGTTGGCAAGGTTAGGTGTTACCCCGGTGATCTGACTTAGGCATCAAATCAAAGTCGAAAAAATTCTCTAAATGTAAGTTCAGGAAACTCGATACTCCGCGTTGTTAAAAATATCCTCCTGAATCAATTGTAAATAGGAAGCTGCGTAAACTACTAAAAACCTACAACACAGTTCAACTAGAATAAATTGGGTATTGCCAATTTAGTCTGCAATTTATTCAGCATTCTTCGGTAGGTAAGACTAATGTGAAGTGAAAAGTAGGCTGTACAAATTGCATAAAATTAGAGCCTCAAAAGCAATTGTTTCCGACGCGTCGGTATATCCTAGTTGATGTTGAGTACCCTAGCTCACCAAGTTTCACAACCTGTGAATGGGTAGGCTCAGCATTCTTTACTAGTAGAAGTCTAGGAAGGTGGTTACACTACTGAAACCTAAGAAATCGTCCCACAAACGAAAGTTGTATCACCCAATGACTACTTTCCCCAGTAGTGAAGATACTTGAGGCCATGCTACTCCCGTAATTCATGTACTACCTGACCCCGACGATACATTAACATGGATTCCGTGAAGTGAAAATTACCATCACTATTGGAGCTACTTCTGTGAATGTTATATGAGATACGTATTTCAGTCACGCATGCACTAAAAGTCCTGAGTAACGACAATTTACGCTGTATCCTCCGGCAGACAAAGCCAAACTTCGAGTGACCAGTAGGCGCCACAAACTGTCAACACCTAGTGCGCCTCTTGCTTTCACCGGGAATGCAAAAGCCTCCAAAGCCTTAGGACCACAGATTATGTATGCTGATGCTGAAAAGATTGGGTGCTGCGGGTTGTCCCACGCCTAAACTGGGGAAACCGGGCAAAAGGGGGAGTCTTATCGTCCGATAACCCTCTTTTCCCGGCAGCAAAGACACTATTCTATTTCTATTGGACTCGTCAAGATATTTTACCGATCCTTTATCAGCCCTCTTGTTACTACACAAGTTCCTATGTTCGTATATGGGGACTGGTTAAATGTTGTTGTTTAGCCGTCGTGAAGAATGGTTTGAGAGACATGTGAAGAGGTTGTTAGTATCGTGCGGCTTAAGCAGAGTTGGCTCAATGGAACGCGAGAATTAGCAGGCAACTAAAGCTCTTCGTCTGGTACAATCGTCAGAGAGCAGTAAAGATCCCTCTTATGCCTTGGAGAGTTGTGGAATGCAAAAATGATGCATTCACAGGAAGAAAGCATCGCCGTCTGTTGACCCATGGTTATTTATTTCTAAAATTTGAGGGGAGATCCTTAAATAGTACACTTGTTTGTCGATCTTTCAGATGATCACCCTTTACAGTTTCAATCCCTGTAGGCGAGGGAATGTCTGAATATGCTCTAGTAGCCTTGCCATGACAGTCGGTTGGTTGTGACTCGTGGTTAGAATGACGCGTTCGTGAAATCATTGTTGTTGTTAAAGCGGCTACTTAGCCTAGATCAGAAAATTTCGTTGTCAACCTCAACTAACGGTAGCCCAGGTACAGCGTCGCGTCCAATTTTAGTTGAATATATATACTCCGGGGTCTCTTCCTTTAATTCGAAGAGACGAGCCTATGGGAAGGTGTAACAACATTTCCACGATAGCCAGTTCTACTTATCAAACTGGCTTGAGTTTTACGCGAGCAAGGACTATATTTTTGGGATCTAACCCTGTTCAGAGATTCTTGTTGATCTGGTACCGTGGAACAGGCTGGTGAAATGTCCGTCATTTTACGGGCTGTCTCTGCCTCAGCCCTTTCTAGAAGCAAGTTTTTTCTTAGAATCAAGGTTGATCCATTTGATTGTAGATCGACTGAAGTATTTATTTAGTTATCTGTTTTTGGGGTTTTTTTTTTGAAAGTAAGCAATTATCTCGAAGCTGGAAGTCTTTGCTCTCTTACGCGTNTTTTTTTTTTTTTTGAAACTAAACAATTATCTCGAAGCTGGAAGTCTTTGCTCTCTTACGCGCATATAATATCGTAATAACTACTTACAAAACCGCATTTACTGTTCGCTAAATATTCTGAACAAATTCTGCACTCTCTTTTACTATTTTAATAAAAAAAAATCCTTTCGAATTCTCAGATCGCTTCAACAAAACCACTTCTGGTTCCTGGGAGCTCGCGGAGAAGGATGACGAAGTAACACCGCCTGGCACACCGCCGCCCCCGTATCTGAACATGTCTGGCGCGGAAGAGCAACAGCATTCGGCGCATGACAGTAGTGGTGGCGGTGGTGGCATATTTATCGAATCACATCACTTTACACCACTCGCTGGCGCAGCTTCACCAACACCACCAATCACCACAACCATCGCCACCGCACATTCCAATCGCATTTTAGCCGCACAAACGAACGCCACCCAAAAGGAGATCATCTCCATGGAGGACGAAGATGCTTCCGATCAGGAGGGTCCATTCATCGATGAGAATGGCCCCTTTAACTATCTGCAACGCTTGCTTGAGTCAGAGAACGTCGCCTTCCTGGCGGTCTTTCTCAACTACGTGCTATCCAACTCGGAGCCGGCGCCGCTGCTCTTCTACCTAATTACCGGCCTGTATAAGGAAGGTACGGCCAAAGATATGCGCAAGTGGGCATATGAGATACACTCAACATTCCTGGTGCCGCGTGCGCCGCTCTCCTGGTACCGCAAGGATGAATCGCTGGCGCGCGAGGTCGACAATGTGCTGCAAAGCGAATTCGATAAGGTGGAAATTTTACGTAAAGTATTCTGGAAGAGCAGAAAGTGTGCGCGGGATACGATTTGTGCGCAGTTGCGTGAATTCCAGCAGACGCGTACCGAAGGTTTGGGCACAATTTATGGGCCGACCGATGCGCAACTGGCAGAGGCACGCGGCGATAAGCAACGAGAGCAGCATATCTTTGAGGAGACGCTCATGCGAAAGCTGCAGGTGTTGATGTGAGTTAATTAAGAAAAATCATGCTTCATTCGGGTGATTCATCAAAAGAAATTGCAGTAGTATTTAAAATTTTTAATTTTTTTACAAATGTAGTAACGTTTTTCTCCATTGCAGTGAAGAATATGAAAAAGACTTACCTCTAGAGGATCCCAAGAAATTGGCGCTTTGCTCGGCGTTATCAACTGTAATACATCGTATATTTATAACACGCTCGCATCCGAACAGTATTGTGGATCGTGTGCATCACTTTGTTAGTCGTGAGAAGAGTTTCAAATCGCGTCTTATGGGCAAAAATCGGAAAGTAAGGCACATATCTAAGATATACTTTAATTATTTGTATACAAAATTGATTTTTTTCTTTTCAGATGATTGTTCGTGGTCATCCATTGGTATTGCGACAATACTACGAAGTGACCCACTGTAATCATTGTCAGACAATTATCTGGGGTGTGAGCCCACAAGGTTACCATTGTACAGGTGTGTTGAGGATTTACCTTATATCCATCTAAGCTTAAAATTTGTATATTGAATTGGAAAAAATATATATCTGGAAATGATTACTATCTCATTGAATGATATCACCGTTCCTTAAAATTAAAAGAAGCCTCACACGTATATTTTAAGTAAGCTAGTAGAGATTCATAGGTCTGACCGAATTGTTCTCAAAACTGTTTTACATTTTTCGAACACCTTAATATTCTTCACTTTACACCAAAAAAGCCTTTGCGGTCATTGAACCTATTTTTTTTTTAGTTGGCTAGTTCCAATGCTTCCTAGTCACCACCTGTGTTATAATAACCGTGCTTTACCGCTATTCTGATGATCTTCTCGTGGAAAATTAGTTTTTTTTTTCTAGGTAAATTCTAGCTTGCTTGGGCAAATTATTTGATTTCCTGATGAACGCATCGCATTCGCTTAAAGTAACTTCCGTTACGAATCCACAATACATCAGACCTGAGCGTTCACACATTATAGGGAAGTTCTATTCTTGGTACATGTTTGTCATTATAGTTACTATATACTATATCATATATAGTTGAGACAGAGTTCTGTCTTCTGTAGATTAATTTGATTAGTTTAACAGGGCATCACTGTGACACCGATCAGATTTATTCCCCAGCGAAGAGGGAAGCTATTATTGTCGACGATGCTATTGCTAATAAGGCCGCCTCGATGTCAAAGTACAATATATTTTCTCATAATTTTTTTGGCCGACTCTAATGTAAACTTAAGTCTTGCATGTTTTAAAGATACCTAAAACTTCACTTGGAAGGTTCNTGCTTTACCGCTATTCTGATGATCTTCTCGTGGAAAATTAGTTTTTTTTTCTAGGTAAATTCTAGCTTGCTTGCGGAAATTATTTGATTTCCTGATGAACGCATCGCATTCGCTTAAAGTAACTTCCGTTACGAATCCACAATACACCAGACCTGAGCGTTCACACATTATAGGGAAGTTCTATTCTTGGTACATGTTTGTCATTATAGTTACTATATACTATGTCATATATAGTTGAGACAGAGTTCTGTCTTCTGTAGATTAATTTGATTAGTTTAACAGGGCATCACTGCGACACCGATCAGATTTATTCCCCAGCGAAGAGGGAAGCTATTATTGTCGACGATGCTATTGCTAATAAAGCCGCCTCGATGTCAAAGTACAATATATATTCTCATAATTTTTATGGCCGACTCTAATGTAAACTTAAGTCTTGCATGTTTTAAAGATACCTAAAACTTCACTTGGAAGGTTTTTGTAGCCTTTCCTAGACATAAACGCTTAGGTCCAATGAAACCGTAAATTCCCCAAATATTCCGGTCTATGCTAGCGAACCGATTCGAATTTCTATTCGACCCTGACTTTCACTTTAGCAGCGCATTCTTTTTTATATTTTTTACTGCAACGAATTTATCGAAATTAAATTTGAACACTCGGTTTCATAAATAAGATAGCTCTGTTCACACAAATCAGTGCGTTCTAGAATGGTACTGAGTATACATGGGCGTACGCAGAGCATGATTTAGGTTGGACTGAGATTTTTTTAATGTAAATTTTATTAGAAAAGTTAAAATATAGCTAGTAAAAATTTATAATAATTTATCTCATTAATTTTTCTCTTTTTAACCGACTTCAAAAAATGGAGGAAGTTATAAATTCATCGAAATATTTTCTTTATGAATGTTACCGCATAGCTTGGACCACATNAGCTCTGTTCACACAAATCAGTGCGTTCTAGAATGGTACTGAGTATACATACATGGGCGTACGCAGAGCATGATTTAGGTTGGACTGAGATTTTTTTAATGTGGATTTTATTAGAAAAGTTAAAATATAGCTATTAAAAATTTATAATAATTTATCTCATTAATTTTTCTCTTTTTAACCGACTTCAAAAAATTGAGGAAGTTATAAATTCATCGAAATATTTTCTTTATGTATGTTACCGCATAGCTTGGACCACACTAACCGATTTCGATAATTCTTTTTCTGGTGCCTCAGGGTAGGTCCCATAGTATTTTGGTTTAGATTGCCGGAATATTTTTTTATGTTGGATGAGGTGGTACCTCAGAGGTGGTCCCATCTTAATTTGGTTTAGATCCGATTATTGGATCATGAAGAAATTAACGGCAATCTTAAAGTTTTATATGAGAATTGAAGTCGGTTTTGTTTTTTCGCTAAAAAATTACTTGATTATTTATTTGTTCGTTTTTGTTTTTTCTACAAAACCTCTGTGAACGCTAAGCATACCTAAACCTAAGTTCAAGTGCAAACTAAGAGAAAATATTAAAAGATAATAGTACCTTTTTTTAAGTAAATGACTGTTTATCAGACTAACAAAAGTAAGCTGAAAAGGACGATAGGAGGATGATAAAATTATCAAGGAACAACCTGCAGTTTACCAAAACTACCGGAATGGATGTGAAAACACCCAAAGTCTTGATTTATTGCATAAATTTTTTGAATTGGAAGATGATTATGAATTCATAGAAAGAAACTTACATTGAAACTTTGGAATTTAGGACCTGCGTACGCCCATGTGTCTAAGGTATGGAGGCGCCAATATCAATGCGGTGGTGTACAAATGTAAATAGTGACGAATGTTTTGTGACTTGATGCAAAGGCNAGTAAATGACTGTTTATCAGACTAACAAAAGTAAGCTGAAAAGGACGATAGGAGGATGATAAAATTATCAAGGAACAGCTTGCAGTTTACCAAAACTACCGGAATGGATGTGAAAACACCCAAAGTTTTGATTTATTGCATACATTTTTTGAATTGGAAGGTGATTATGAATTCATAGAAAGAAACTTACATTGAAACTTTGGAATTTAGGACCTGCGTACGCCCATGTGTCTAAAATGGTATGCAGGCGCCAATATCAATGCGGTGGTGTACAAATGTAAATATTGACGAATGTTTTGTGACTTGATCCAAAGGCCAGATTATGGTGTGCTCAGCTAGTCCAAACTGAAACAGGTCTGTTCCACAAGAGAATACAAAATATGACCTCTAACTCTTAGAGATAAACGAAGTTTTTCTAAGGCTTGTGAACAAAGCCAAATTTCTAGGCATCAAATTGTATGAGAAGCTGAACTAGAAAAGGGAATATTTCTCAGAGTGGCGAAAATGCTTCTAAGATCTATACACGCGCAAAGGAACCACAGGCAAAAAATGGGTTTTGAACCTATACATCAAGCTTTGGTGTAAGCAGCAATTGTTGTAAGATCAACTCTTCTATGTAAGGTAATTTTAATCAGAGCAATTCCATATTACACTCAGAAGATCTTTTCGGATCCCCTGGGACAATAGCCTTCAATTATTAACGCTCTGCGTGGATATATGAAATACACAGAAACATGAAATCGACACTNAGTCCAAACTGAAACAGGTCTGTTCCACAAGAGAATACAAAATATGACCTTTAACTCTTAGAGATAAACGAAGTTTTTCTAAGGCTTGTGAACAAAGCCAAATTTCTAGGCATCAAGTTGTATGAGAAGCTGAACTAGAAAAGGGAATATTTCTCAGAGTGGCGAAAATGCTTCTAAGATCTATACACGCGCAAAGGAGCCACAGGCAAAAAATGGGTTTTGAACCTATACATCGAGCTTTGGTGTAAGCAGCAATTGTTGTAAGATCAACTCTTCTATGTAAGGTAATTTTAATCAGAGCAATTCCATATTACACCCAGAAGATCTTTTTGGATCCCCTGGGACAATAGCCTTCAATTATTAACGCTCTGCGTGGATATATGAAATACACAGAAACATGAAATCGACACCCCATGTTAATATGTGTATTTTTATTTTCTTCACCTATAAAAAATATTCTGGATCCTGGCCGATTTCCCTAGATGACTAAATCTGTAGCTCCCACAATAGTTGGGTTACAATACCGGGACGACGAATAATTGTTTCTAGAGAAGGACTGTCCCTTGGGTTCCTGGCCGCAGGAACATGGGTGGAAACCACATTTCTAAGGAATGTATCAGTACCTTTAAATGAAAAGGAGGTTTTGGAATTAATTTTTACTTAAGTTTATGAAAGGTGGAGTTAAAACACGGTCGGTCGGAACTCGTATCGTCTTCCCGGGGGTGTTTTAGAAACTTAAAAGACTACCAAACAGTTCTTTTTCTTCTATGAAAATCACTGAAACCAGGAAAACCTTGTTCAAACCCCAATGATTCTCATTGCCTTCGGACCCGGATCCTTTCAAATTTTCATTCCCGATTATTACTCGTAAGTAGCTGCCTCAGGTGGTGCAATATCAAGGGTCGGGCTGTACGTCCAGTGCTCTTTTTGTGATCAGTTCCATCCATTCACCTAAATAATCTATACCAATATATATTTTGAAAGCCGTTTTTTTTTGTGTTCGCAAAGCTTGAGAACGGCTAAACGGATTTTTTTTTTAAATTTCGGACAATTGCCGCAAGCGTCCCAAGGATGGTTTTAGGCTAAAACTACATATGTAAATGGGGCGTGACACCTCCTATACAAACCGAATTTTTTCATACTGCATATCTCTGGAAGTGTTCATGGTAGAGTTCTGGAACTGGGTATGGAGATATACGAAATCAATCGCATACTCTTGGAGAAAAATTGGAGCTATTTTGAAAAAGGGGGCGTTGCACTTCCCATACAAACCGAATTTTCATGCTGCATATCTCTGAAAGTGTTCTTGGTAGAGATTTGGAACTTGGTATGGAGATATACGAAATCAATCGCATACTCTTGGAGAAAAATTGGAGCTATTTTGAAAAAGGGGGCGTTGCACTTCCCATACAAACCGAATTTTCATGCTGCATATCTCTGAAAGTGTTCTTGGTAGAGATTTGGAACTTGGTATGGAGATATACGAAATCAATCGCATACTCTTGGAGAAAAATTGGAGCTATTTTGAAAAAGGGGGCGTTGCACTTCCCATACAAACCGAATTTTCATGCTGCATATCTCTGAAAGTGTTCATGGTAGAGATTTGGAACTTGGTATGGAGATATACGAAATCAATCGCATACTCTTGGAGAAAAATTGGAGCTATTTTGAAAAAGGGGGCGTTGCACTTCCCATACAAACCGAATTTTCATGCTGCATATCTCTGAAAGTGTTCATGGTACAGTACTGGAACTTCGTATGGAGATGTATATGAAAACAAGCCCATACTCATGGAGAAAAGTGGGGCTATTTGAAAAGACGACGTAAGCCCTATAAACGTACCGACTTTTAGCTATCTTTAAATGTATTTCTAATTCTTCTGTAGGTGTGTTTGAGAGTAAAATCCTCCTACACATGTGCCCGGTTTTTAACGAAATTTGTGTGTGTTTGAGTCTCTGAATGGTTTAGTTTCACAATTTAACCCGCCAGTTGACGCTGTAGTTGAGTTATTACTAAAAATCTAATTTATGATCCGATTTGGCTAATATTTAAAATATGTATTGGCTATGGTAAGAGAAATACTATTGCCGAAAAGTGCTGCCAAGTGGCGTTGGAGTCGAGTTATTACTTAAAATAGCCAAGTGAGAAAAAGTGCCGTGAATGTCAGATTAAATCGACCTGTTGCGCCATTGGGTATATGGAACTTTCCTGTGTTACGGTGATTTTCCAATGTTATTATGCGTTCAAGGTTTTAAGGTACTTCGTGTGAAATAAGTATATGTATATAGTATTTCTGTAGAACAATGATACGCACCCATTTTGAAATTGCCACCAACTATACTATAAAGCTTCTAGGACAGATTCACTATACAACGGGGTCATTGTTGCTGCCAGGGAGTGAAGAGGAAAAAATTCTTCAAATTCATTTCGTTTTCCGAATAACCGTGCCATGAAATGCTGCACAGTTGGAGAATTTCAAGAACTTCTTCACGGATATAATACTTCCCTTAGCTTATTTAAATCGGCAAATGACTAGCAAACCCTAATCTTGGCAGATAAATGTGCCAATGAAAATCGTAAACGTGAATTGCTGGTAAAAATGTTGGACCAAAAAGTTTCAATAAAAGAATACAAATTTTGGGCGGTACGAAGTTTGCCGGGTTTGCTAGTCTATTAGTCTCGATTGTAGTATCATAGATTGTACTATAAATTGATTATGATTTAAAAATTCTTAAAATCGATTTCTTAACCTGTTCTTTTTTCTTCTCTACAGACTGTAAATTAAATATTCACCGTCCCTGTTCGAAAGTGTTAGATGAGAATTGCCCAGGTCCGTTGCCGCAGTCGAAACGAAAAGAACCACATAACGATAACAAAATCAGCAAATTTATGGGAAAAATACGGCCGCGGACATCGAGTGACTTTATTTCAAGTGAGTAAACGAAAATCATAGTTATGATGAAATATTACTAACCATAAATATTTTCTTTTTAGTGGAAAAACGCGCACGTCACGAGGAAGATTTCGATCCCACGGATTTTGCAAATGGTAAGTTTAACTGGAGAAAATTAATATTTTTAGGAAAAACTTTTTATTTTGTGAGAACCACCTGTAAATAAGAGGAGACGTTTGTAAATGGGTTTTCGATATTACTACGAAGAAGTGGAAATTTAGTACATACATAAATAACAAGTAATTTTTAAGCAAAAAACAAAACCGAGATTATGCGGTAACATACATAAAAAAAATGATTCGGATGAACTGATAACCTTCTCCTTTTTTTGAAGTCGGTTTAAAATTTGTTTCATTTGCTTGAAATTTATCATTTATCAAGCTCAAGATCACTCTGTTCAAACTTTAGAATACATACCAAAACTTAAGGAGATAAAACCAAATATTTTTGAGTAAATAATTTATTCTGTGCGTAGGTATGCTATGTGCTCAGTTGGAAAAATAAGCAATAAAAAACCAAGGAGCCGTTGGCTGCCATAAAAAAAGCTTCTCATAAAAACCGTTTGCCATTTAGAGATGCACAGTGGAAAAAATCATGTTGTGGCAAAAAATCTGCCTACTGTTCAAATCTGAATGGATTTGGATATCTTTTTTTTTAATGTTTGTTTTTAACTTACTTTTAGCGCTGCAGCTGCGCCCTTTTTTGAATAGTGACAAAATAATCTCACAAATTTAACCCAAATTACAGGCTCTAGTAAAAACTTTTAAAATTTTATATCTAGTCTAGTAAAATTTTAACTTTTATGACTGATGGAGGATTCCCAAATTTCTAAAAAAAAAAACAAAAAAAAGCGTTGTCCAAATGCTCCTATCGGAGTGCATCTACTGCTATCGGAGCAACGTCCGAACGCTGATACTCATACTGCCGCAACTAGTGTTGAGTGCTTTGTGAGTAATTTATTTTTGTTTTCATTTTAGACACGCAATGATGAGAAATTTTGGCAACATGCGCGTTTGCTTTTGCTCTCACAATCCCTACGACGCTCTCGATATGTTGCTTTCGTTTCATTATCCCTCTCAGTGGAAACTCTCTCTAGACATTTGTCGCGGCACCCAAGAGGTGCGCATCATATGATTTACCGGCTTTTTCAAGTGGCGTCAATAACAACCCCAAAAAGAGTTTTTTTTTTATTTGTGTTGTTGATAGTNCGGCTTTTTCAAGTGGCGTCAATAACAACCCCAAAAAGAGTTTTTTTTTTTATTTGTGTTGTTGATATATGTACTGTATGTATTTGTTGGTTACGAAAGGATACGGGCAATGACTGCGACAACAGCAAGGACGATGTAATCTAATGCGTTACTTGATAAGTGAAAGCATTAAATGATGTTTCTGAGGGGAAATTTTTTCCTTGAAAGTAATACAATGTTTCAAAGTAATTGATTTGAAAACTTTTGCTTTAACAAAAGTTGATTAATTGAGAGAACGAAGTCGTTTAATTATGAGCAGTGGTGTGAATAAAAAATATGTACTTATGTACAGTCAGTCAATATTTTTTAAATATGTTGTTTTTCGCCAAATTTTTTTTAATAAAAATATGGTTGATTCTACAATAAAACCCCCAGAATCAGAGTTCCAACCTTCAGCAAATTTTCATTCAAATATCGCACTTTTTGTTTACACTTTTTCTAAAGTTGAGTATGCAGTTTTTTAGCCCATGCACGTCCGAGGAAATAATTTTCGTAAAGTTTTTATATGGAAAAAATGAGCGACACCTCCAACAAAAAAAATTGCCAAAAATCTATGGTAATTCCCAGCTTCCTCAGACGTGCACTTTATCATACTAATATTGAATGGGCTAAAAAACTGCATACTCAGCTTTAGAATTGAAATAAAGAATGTAAATAAAAAGTGCAATATTTGAATGAAAATATGCAGAACTTTCTTTAATTTTGCACCAGGTTTGGAATTCTGATTTTTGGGGTTGTAGAATTAACTATATTTGCATAAAAAATGAGCGAAAAATAAAATATTTAATAAACTGTGGTCCGTATTGCAAAAAACTCTGTACCTAAACTTTATTGATTTACTATATGTACATACTATACATACATATATGCATTTCACCTTATATTTTTTTCTTACTGATTGTTAAAAATATTAATAAATGCATTTCATTTCCTTTTACTTACTCGCGTTAAAGTAAGCTTCCAATTGTCGGTTTCGCCAGCTATTTCAGTGGAAAATGATTTTTTCATTTCTACTAGTTTTTACATTAAATTCAAATAAAAAATAATAATGTTTCATTTAAATTGCTTTCGTGAAACTGACTATAAATGTCTTAATCTCAATCGTTGCAAGTTTTTAACAGAAGTTTTAAAGTCAACATTAATTCAATTCCATTAACCCAAGCTTCCACACACACCTATGTATGAACGTATGTATACTACACGCGAAAATCAAATAACACCTCCTTCCACACTCACCATCCACTTTTTTACAGCGCAGCGAAGAAAGTTCCTTCGTATGTTAAAAATTTTCGCACTGTCTTGGTCTAGACGCTGTCGTCGGTTGTTACATAGCTGAAGCGTCGAAAGTTGTGAGCGACTTCAATGGTTTAACTACCGACCGCGCCCGTTTTGCTGCCACCTTTCCCATCTACAAGCACTCGAACGATTGCTCTGACTGCCTACTAGAAGCACTCCTTTGACTTTTCTTTAGCCTCTGGATAGCTGCCTGCCTGTCTACCTTTACGCTACAACTACATATTACTTTAGTGTGCGGATGTGTGTGTGTGTGTACCCATATCGACTTCAACATTTTTGTCATTCTGTTTTATTTTTGCGCGATTTTCACAGCACTTATTTTCTTTTGTTGCAGCCATCTGCATGCTCTTCCTTAGCGTTATTTTGAATATGTCTATTGTTTACTTCGGCATTTGGCCTTTAACAGGTTTTCTCACGTTTTGTTACGCTTACGCTCTGGCGTGACACGTTTGGCATTTCGGCAGTTGGGTTCATGCATAGCATGGCTGCAGTTGTTGAGTCGCAATCGCAGATTCGGCCGCAGTCTCAGTCGCTGTTTGCAATCTCAGTTTCTTAACAACATAGAATTATGTTCGCAGAGCTCCTTAATAGGTAAGGACCAGTAAATATTGAAGCATTCAACGTCGACGGCAAATTTCTGGTTTTTGTCCATATGACCATATTTTTCGTTGCCGCTTATTTTGTATTGCTGCATATTCCTTTTCAATGTACCTTTTGTGTGTAGCATGTTCGCATCTTGTACTTTGATTTGTATACCCGCTTAGCGGTGTTAAGCATGTGCCACCAAATTGACTTTGCTTGCGTTCTCATGCTATTTATACGTTTCACAATTCCTTCATGGTTTATCTGCTATCGTCGGTTTGTAGCCAAGTTCCTATATACTATCGTTTTAAAATATGTTTGAGTTGAGTTGCTTTAATACTGATTGCACTCATAGGCTTCACTCGTTTTTTCTCAATCTGTGTTGACAAGGGCAAGCTTGTCAATATTCGGTTTTTTGTTAAGTACTTATTACTCGCTAAGAACTTAAGTATGTTCTATCTTTCTCTCATCTTCCTAGCTCTCCCAGAAGATGTTACGCTCGACCATAAACTACATAGCATTCAGTTTTTAAGCGTCTGTTATTACTCCTGTGCAGTGTTGCCACTCAGACATCCATTTTTCATTATTTCGTTAGTAGACTATCCAGCGTTTTTTAAACAAAATCACCAGCCACGGTAGTAGTAAAAATTGACTTTGTACTCTCGAAAGTTGTAGCCAAGTTTTCTCCTCAAAGCAAACCGTTTTAACTTGCCGGCGAAATGCACCCTTGGACTAGAGATGAATTAAGCTCGAAGAATAAAAGTGCCTTTAGTGTCGCCTTAGTGTCGCTTAGGGGTCGTAAACTTATCGCTGCACACCGACTAATGGCGTAGATCGACAGGACTTGAGCGGCATTCACAGGGAGTCGGTCTCAAGTTACGTATACTGCAGACCTGTGAATGCCGCTCTGGGCACACAACCACCTGACGTGGACGAAACGTCTGCCTCGGGAGACTCGGACCACAATAAACCTACTTCGCTCTAGCTACTGCAGCAGCTCTTGTTTAATGGGAGCAGCATATAGAAAGTAGGCGGAAATCAGTCTGCTGGCTAAGGCTTTGTGAAGTCTTGCAACTTGTTGGGTAGACGAGATACGCTTCCGTTGTCTACTTTGGGAGACCATCATAGCCCAACTTCGCTAAACGCAGGTATGCCCGAGATGCGGAGAGTCACCTGATGACTCACGGCACCGCTTCGGAATCCCCCAAAACACCACTCAACTAACGCTTCTGTCCTTTTGGGCCAACCCATTCGGAGTTTCCCGTTAGTTGAAAATGACGACAACGATTGAGGAACAGATCTAGGCAGGATTGAATAGCCGCTACAACAACAACCTCCCGTTAGTTTATTACCAAACAGCTGATTTCTGTTTTTAACTACACTCAATTCATAAATTTTTCCACTCAAAAGAACTAACCAAAGCGTGCACTCAAAATGTGTTAACTCACTCATTTACCACTGCACACAAATAACTTACGTCTCCTATTTGCAGCGCTCTAGAGCGCCTTCCAAACGAGTGATTTCTGGCTGCCGGCACAAGCAGCCAACGACAGCGCCAAAGCGAATGGAGGCATAAATGTCAGAAACAATAAAATAGTGTTTTTCAAAACGGCAAAGAAAGTGGTTGTTGTGCGAGTCGCAAGCAACAAGGCGGTATTTTTCAAATTTCTATGCTTTTGGACGGTGTGGACGACGGTGGTGCTGCGTCTACGACGGCTGTTTGAGTGATCACACTGGTGTTGCAAAAGGCGCGCGGCGGTACGATGAGGCGCGGCAGCTGATAAGTGAAGGAGTGTTAACATTTTGAAAAAAAAAGAAAACGGAAAGTTTGAGTAAATTAAAAGTAAATAATGTGTAATTTATATAAATAGTGTTGCGAATCATTTAATAGTTGAAAGTGCATAATTGGATTAAGTGTTATTATGCCAGCAGCATTAAATTTAACTGCAGCAGGGAAAAAAATATTAGAAAATTGAAAACAAAAAGAAATTTAAAACAGTGAAAGATGCAGCGAAAGCGCAAATTAATATTAAGTGCATCA